TCCCGAAGGCTGGAAGGACGAGAAGCTCGTCGACCGGACGCACATCGACCTTCTGATCTCCGCAGCCGACCGAGCCAAGAATGCGTGCCGGAGACGTCTCCCACCCGGGCAAACGGGCGGGGTCTTCCAACTCGTGCTCGAACTTCCGGATGGCGTCTCCGGATTGGGCGACACAAAGAGCTGTCCCGAACTGGTGAGACTGGTGTGCGGGGAAGACCGGGACGCGACGCACGCTCAGACCCTCGTCGCCGAGCTCCTGCACCGAGCCCAAAAAAACAAGGTGGCAGATGTGAGCGAGCTGCTGGCCGATCACAAAGACGAGAAAGCCGTGCTCGACGCCATGATTCACTACGCAAACGCGACATCGACGCCCGCACGCGTGGTGACGACCACCGTGAGAGGGAGATCGGGGGCCGAAGCGTTGCAGAGAATCCTCGCAACGATCGACCTCACCGCAAGAAACATCGAAAGCGCTTCATCGACGTTGTTCGCACACGAGACGCAGCCCGACTCTGCCCGACCGGAACCGAAAATCGTAGAACTCAGTCGAGTCTCTCGAGCCATCCGTGCCGACGCGATTGGTCTGAGTGAGAAGGTGCACGATGCACTACGCATCCCTAGAATCCCGCCGAAGCCGGTCGAAACCCTCGTGGCGCAGCTCCTGCGAGAAAGAAAGACCCTGCCCGACTGTCAGAAGGAAAGAGAGGAGTTGCGAGTAAGAATCGAGGTCGCCGAAGATGATTCGAAAAGACGAGAAGCATCATTAGCGGAAAAAGAGACTCTACTAAAAAAACAGACGAACTACCTACGGGCTTCAGAGAGTAGGATCGACGCACTCGAGAGGGAAGTGCGGGCGTGTCGCGAAGACGATTCGAAAGAGCGGATTCCAGACCTCACCGCCGAACTCGAAAGATGCCGCCGAGATCGAGAAACGGTAAAGGCATCCGCCCAAAGAAACCTCGAGAGCATGCGTTCGGATCTTCGTAACGCACAGGACGGGACGGCAAGAGAGAGACTCGTGCTGTCGCAGAGAGAAAAAGAGATAGAAACCCTCCTCCGAGACTCGACCTCAGAACGAAAGATGGCCGAAGCGTCGCAAAACGAACTCCGAGCACGGCTGAAGGCATGCGAGGAGGACGCCGGTTCTCAGCATGATCCAGGGGTCATCGAATCCCTGAGACTGGAGCTTCATAATCGCGAGACAGAGATCGAGGACCTGAAGAAAACCCACGATACTCTCACCGAAACGCTGGCGAAGACGCAGGCAGAAAAAGAGGCTTTCGAACGGAGACATGCGGAGTCGGCGGCTCAACAGGGGGCTCTGGCCTCCGCACTGCAACGCGTCGAGGCGCTGAGCCGGCGAGAGAGAGAAGGGAGAGAAGAGCTGCTCCGCAAGGTCCTCCAGGCCGTCAAGGGAGGCGCCGAAGCACAACTGGCTAAAAAGCACCTGGACAAGCACATGAGGACGAAAGCCCGCCAAGGGGCCGTCTACCGAACTCGAGGGGACCTGAACGCCGCGGTCGGGCGCTACGTGCGGGACCAAGGGGGTTCTCACGTCACCGTCTTCGGCCCCGACACCCTCAAAGACGAGCTGCGAGGGCTCCCGGTGTTCCTGGTCTGTCCCAGCAACAACGTCCCTCCTCCGGACTGGAAGGACCGCAAGGTGCTCTTCGTGAGCAAAGAGGGACTCATATCTAATGCACTGAAGGCGCTGAGAGAGGAGCGCGGCCGAACGGAAGTCGACTTCCTCCTGACGGAAGACGATCTACGAAAGCTACCGGAGGGGGGTCTTCGGACCCTGCGAGACATCGCCGCGAGATCTCGGAAATGAAATCGAGCTCTCGACTTTATTTTCTCTAGCATACAACATCGATCATACTCTCCGCTCCGATGGGAAAGGAACCGAAGCACCCTGGGAGGAATTTCGCGGCCAACGACAAGCGAAAGGTATGGAACGGCGAGAAGGCGAAAACCCGGTCCGGTCTGACCAGAAAGGATCTGATGGTGCGCAAGCACGACGGGCAGATCATCAGCAAGTTGAAGCACGATCAGGGGGTCAAGCAGATGAAGAGGCTGAAGCGCGAAGGCCTGTGGAACCCAGCGCCCCTCTTCAGATGATCGGCCCCTGGCGGTTCGTGCTCCCGTACCTAAAACACCTAGAATAGATCCCCGACGTTTGACCGACGTGCCCAAGAGCGGGCATCTCGGTCGAAGCTCGAGCTTCTTACTGCATGTTTTCTTCAAAATCGGCGTCTCCGACTCGTCGTGGCCGCTCAACGCGGCAGCTGTGTGAGGTGTACGGCATCCGGATTGACGGCGGTGCTGCCCGCGTTCTGTGAAGCGGTGGCCGCCGGATACGGCACGACGGAGCAGCAAGATACCGGGTCGACGGTGGAGCTTTTGAGACAAAGACGGGATTCTACCACGTTGCGAGGCAGGTCGTCGACAATCTGCGGGCCGTCGCTTCGAGCGCCGTCCAGCCGCCGACTCTGACGATGCAGACGGCCACGGCGGCCATGCAACATATCGTGGCGGTGTCGGACGGGATCGTCCAGATCTCGGGCGACCTAGTAGCGCCGCGCGGCTACTGTTTGACGACACGCCACCCGCCACTCATGCGGAGACTGAAGCGGGAAGGTCGCTGGAATCCGGCGACTCCCTTTTGATGATCCACAGCTCCTTCGGAGCCGTAGCGAGTCTGGGTGACCATTATTCTAGTTTTTTGGTTTATCGTCGACGGACGTGCCCCAACGTGAGGCACCTCCGCTGAAGCTCGGGACTCGTCTGCATTCAACAAACATCAGGGCCTACATGGCACATACACGAAGGCAGATTGATGATTATGGCAATTGTATCAGGCGCGCAGCATTCGGATCCACGGAAGTGCTAGCATACTTGTTGTTCCGCTTACTGTCAAAAATTATTTCATTCTTATGACCTACGATCTACTATTCAACGATCAGCTCGCTTCCGCTTCTGACATACTCGGTCGCTTTCTACCGTACTCTTCCATTCGAACCCATCGTAGAACATGTGCTCCACGGTGACCTCACGGCTTGGCACATGCGTGAGATGGTACTGTAAGCGTTCCAGGTATGCATTCATGCGTTCCTCCCACATCGCCTGGTCCTGGATCACCGGCACCCCGAGCTTGTTGTACCTGAAACAACCCGGGTGCTTTTGCCCGTCCACAGACGTGTAGCCGTCCGGGTTGAACCGGAGCTGCACTTGGGGGCGACTTCCGGCATCCTCAAAGAGCTCCATCATCCGCTTGTTCTCGCACGTGTAGTTGCGGTGCTGGTCCTCGTCGTTTTCACAATGTACCGTATGGGTGTACAAGTCAACGAAGATATCCGGCTTCCTTCCCGAACACCCCCCCTGGAGCCTCTTGTCAAAGGTGATATCCGCAGCCTCTGGAAGGACGCCCGACGCTTTGATATAATCGGTAAAGTGCTGCTCCTTCACTCGGTAGTTACGAGACACCTTCTCGCCCGGAAACGTGAACACAAAGCACCTCAAGCAATATCCCTTGTAACGCTTCCCTACTCTGGTATCGCACCCGTTTGTCAGGCACCTTTTATATATAACGTCGATCATGCCTTCTGTCTTACAAGCGGCGCAGCGGGTGGGATTCTTGCCCTCGAGCCCGAAAACGGGCTGCGTTCGCTTACAGAGGCACCTTCTACTTCTCACGTCGATCATGCCTTCGGTCCGGCAGGAGGCGCAACAGGTGGGTTTCTCGCCCTCGAGCCCAAATGACGCTTGCGCCTTCTTGCAGAGGCACCTTTTACTTATCACGTTCATCATGTCTTCGGTCCGGCAGGAGGTGCAGCGGGTGGGCTTCTCGCCCTTGAGCCCGTACGTAGGTTGCGCCTTCTTGCAGAGGCACCTTTTACTTGTCACGTTCATCATGCCTTCGGTCCGGCAGGAGGCGCAGCGGGTGGGCTTCTCGTTCTCTAGCCCGTACGTAGGTTGCGCCTTCTTGCAGAGGCACCTTGTACTTCTCACGTTGACCATGCATTCGGTCCGGCAGGAGGCACAGCGGGTGGCCTTCTCGTTCTCGAGCCCAAATGTCGGCCGTGCCTTCCCGCAGAGGCACCTGTTACTTCTCATGTCGATCATGCCTTTGGTCTGGCATGAGGCGCAGCGGGTGGCCTTCTCGTTCTCGTGCCCGAATGTAGGCCGTGCCTTCCCGCAGAGGCACCTTCTATGTTTCACGTCAATCATGCCTTCGGTCCTACAAGAGGCGCAGCGGGTGGGCTTCTCGTTCTCATGCCCGAATGTAGCTTGCGCCTTTTTGCAAGCACAATTCTTGCGTCTCATAACTACCTTTTCAAATCCTATCAAAATAATCCCAAGCCTCGATGTCCGCGTTTCCTTATGTCTGTCATATGTCCGTTGGGAACACTTGATTATGATGCGTTTGGGGATGTCGGACGCTTGCTGAGGTGTGTCGACGTTGTCGGACAGCGCCCACGCAGGGACAGTGTTGTGGGATCCTACTTTTATAGGCTGGTAAGAGGTCAGTGTAACGTTTGCGGGCCACAACGCTTCCTTAAGCCGGTGCAAACGTGTTTGTATCCGGGCGCAAGAGTAGAGTTGCTGACGTGGCAGACGGATCCCTCAGGATAAAACAACACAACCATGCCCTCTTATTAGCCTGAAAAAAAACCCTGAAACCCGTAAAATCCTATATCTATTACAAGACACATTCCTGAAGTGGCTACATTTGCGGCTTTCTTACGGAAAGGGGAACGGATCAACGTGGCAGCTGCGTGAGGTGTATTGCGTCAGGATTCGTGGCAGTGCTGCCCGGATTTCGTGAAGCGGTGGGCGTGTTGTCAGTCGCAATAATAGCGGGGACGTTCGGAACGCCCGGCTGTTGGTCGGGAAGTGGTGAGTTCTCGCCCGGGATCGCGGGTGGGGCCGCCCCTACAACCATGGCAACGATAGGCACGTTCGGCACGCCGGGAATCTGGTCCGGACATGAACCCGGAGGTAAAGTGATCCCCACGGCTTTCGTTATACCGTCTTGTTTGTCATACCGCGCTCCGATAACCCCACCGGCGGGTGGCGCGTCCTCCAGGGCCTTGGCGTCCACCGTCATGGCGGTGTACGTCGCGGGCTGCGCCTGCCTATCGATCTGGCCGTCCGCCGCCTGGTCTCGCCCCTCCGAGTCGCTTTCGTGCTGCTCCCTCTCCACCGTACGGTCTTCTTTGGTCGCATGGTGGTGCTCGTGTTTCGGTCCATGAGCGCGACTCTTCCGGTGAGGCATCTATATATTCTTGATAGCTATAGCGAACATTATTTCCGGGGGACTGGCTGACCGCGGCCCTCGTTTCGATGACGCACCGCCCGAACGTGTCGGAGCCGCATATTTTTCTGCGATGGGAATCAAACCACGGTCTGGAATGAGATGAAATCGCTCGTACTCCCAGCATTCTCTCTGCATTGGAAGTCATCGACGGACATCATACTCTCCACCTTGAACGGAGTCACCTCCGTGCTCCAAAACGTTCGCACGGCGAACTGCGTGCTCTGCGGACGGCCCACGCAGAAGCAGCTGTTCGGGCGCACCATCTGCGACTTTTGCAAAACCAGAGCAGAACCGGTACTCATCCGGTCTCCCCGCGTGCTCTGTGAGGACGATTCGGTCCAACTCGCACTCGGCGATATCGCTTTCGGAACTTCCTGATTCCGAGCTCCGATGCCTCTTTTCCACACGCTAAGTACGACGATGCCGTACGTTTTCGATTTTCAGGGCCCCGAGGCCAATTTCCGATGCGACCTGACGTGCGAGCAGTGCACGGCGCATTCTGCGTCCGGTGCGCGATGCAAGCGAGTGGTGTGTATAGGCTTGCCGTACTGTTGGCAACATTCAAGGTCCGTATCTCACGTGACGATCAAGGACGGCGTACACGGCAAGGGCTTGTTCGCATGGGCGCCCGGGGGAGGGCATGCGAGGGTTTTTCGAACCGGCGACCCGTTGGTCGTCTACGGAGGAGAACATCTAGCGACCGCACAGATCGATCAGCGATACGGTCTGCACATCACTGCTCCTTATGCGCTAGAGCTCACGCAGAATCACATCGTAGATGCGGCATGTAAGAGGGGCATCGGGTCCATCGCCAACGCCCCACGCGGCACCAACAAGAAGACGAATGCGAAGTACGCGATGAATAACGTCACCGGCACCATGATGCTCCGGGCCACCAGGCCGATCTACGGCGGGCAAGAGATCCTCGTGGGGTATGGCGGCGGGTACTGGGCGGGTCACAAAGGCTCACACAAAACAAGGAGACGTTGACCGATAGAGACTCGGACTACGAATCAGACTCCCAACCGGGCACAAAAAACGGGAAAAGCTGACTCCAAGTGCCCGGAGGTGACGCGACGGAGTGATGACGTGGCAGTCTGCACACAGGGCTAGGGAATCGGTATCCCTAGTGGAATCTGTCATAAGACGCATTAAAAAATGTGTCTTACGGAGGATTTTCAGGTCTGTTTTTCCTAGTGGATCTCTCAGTTAAGACGCATTATTTTGGAAAGTCCCTGAGATCGGATGGACGATCTAGATCTGCCACGATCTCGATAATCTCATGAAAGTTTCCCCAAAAATGCGTCTTACTGTCTTGTGTCTTGTGGCGATTCTGACCTGGGAATCCGCTAGGGTCAGATCCTCCGAGCAGCACCTACAAGACGCATTATTTATTGTGTCTTATGGGTCTTCCACTAGGGAATTCGCTAGGAGACCTCAAGCGATCCCTCACGAGAAGCTTTGATGCAGTCCGGAGAGAATGTGTCTTGGCCGGTCACTCGCGGGATCGGTATCCTTAGTGGATTCCCTAATAAGAAGCATTTTAAAATGTGTCTTACGGAGGATCCTCGAGGCTGATTTCCCTAGTGGATCTCTTAGTTAGGAGAGTAAGACAGTAAGACGCATTATTTTGGAAAGTCCCTGAGGTCGGATGGACGATCTAGATCCGCCACAATCTCGAAAATCTCAGGAAAGTTTCCCAAAAATGCGTCTTACTGTCTTGTGTCTTGGGGCGATTCTGACTAGGGAATCCGCTAGGGTCAGATCCTCCAAGCAGCACCTACAAGACGCATTATTTATTGTGTCGTATGGGTCTTCCACTAGGGACTTCGCTAGGAGTTTCTACCTCAAGTGATTCCTCAAGAGAAGCTCTGAGATGCTGACGTGGCAGTCTGGACAGAATGTGTCGTGTCTCGTGTATGCTCGCCATGCTCTTTGAATCTCTCTGTGGGCCATCTGTGCGATGCGTGCACCCGTGTCCGACCGCGTGGCCGACGCATATAAAAACAATGTCTGTGGTTCTTCAACTATGGTCAGCTTTGTAGACGTATTCTGTGGCGCAGGCGGTTGGACCGAAGGGCTTACGAGAGCAGGACCGACGCACGTCTTAGGAATCGATCTCGATGCAGCTGCTTTGGAAACTTACCGTGCAAACCATGGTGAAACGAGCGCCATCTGCAGAGATGTGTGCCACTTGTTGAAGCGAGATTTTCAGGATGCGTTGAATGGCAGGCATGTGGATATCGTGGTAGGGTCTCCACCGTGTACTAGCTTCTCACTGATCGGTCCTAGGCGGACGGGTGATGCGAAAGACCAACTGTACCAGGTGCTCCTCAGAATTGCTGATTGGTGCAGTGCTCAAATGGTGGTCATCGAGAATGTAAATGGTTTCAACTCGAAAGACAGTGGTGCCCACTACGACGGTCTCGTCGGTGCCCTCAATTCCTCTGGCTATGTCGTTACGAGCAAGGTCGTGAATGCACATGATTTCGAAGTCACTCAATATCGCAAGCGCCTCATCGTTGTTGCACACAGACCGCACGTTCGATTCCACTTCCCATCAGAGAGTCCGTCCAGAGAGACAATGAGAAACATATTGCAACCACGCGAGGAGATAGTCGATTCATTCTACTGGATGACATCCGAGAAGACACGATATTACATCGAGCGTCAGAAAAATAGGCCAGCGCATGTGAAGATGGTCGATCACGACAGACCCGCCCTCACACTACGAGCAGGGTACATGAAAAGCAGGGGGGCTGAAGCCCTGGTGCTTTACGATGACAACGCATGCAGGATGATGACGGAACTCGAATGTGCAAAAATACAGACGTTTTTTCCGGATTATAGAAAATTTCTGGTCCCCGGTTCGGGGGAGTCGTTCAGCTTGCGCTTGACGCCTCGTCCCTGCTTTGACAGGGGGGCAGCAAGGTCGTCATGAGATACCTGCAGAGAAGCGCGCACTGCATTAGAACCCCCCACGTCAGGCAACTCCTCAGTTGGGTTTGGTGAGATCAGGCCCCTGCCACGTGGCCAGTTTCAAGCATGGGTCATGCGCATTCGTGGACCTGGCAGATGTTACCTCGCATGCGCGCGCTCTCGAACAAACAGTGCCTCGCATCAGATGTGAGTTCATTATTTAAATGCGATAATCACATTGAACTCCAGGCGGCCGCGAAAAGTGCGAGCGATAGCGAAGACCTTGACCTTTGGACCCTGAATACATGCCATGAGCCACAACACCGAACTCGCTCGGTCTTGCTTGTCTCTTTTCTGCCGTTGGGATCAGGCTCCTTTGAACATCGTCTCCAAGCAAGTGATAATAATAACAATAACATCAATATGATCCCGAATGTCCGGATGTCCGAATGCCCGCGTGTAACTAACTTGCCCGCCCTGTACCCTGTGATTGGGTAGGCCGTCGACGTCGATGCCAGTGCCATGTCAATGTCAACATTTACCCCTCACGATGACGTCATGATGTACGGACATATTCGGTGACAACATGCTTGGCACTTTGGACCAGATTGCCTTTACACCCGCAGTCTACTAGTGCCGTAGGGTGCCCACACATGTCGAAAAGCAAACAATAAACGAACCAGCGAGGGTCCGTAGCTGAAGAGGATAGGTGTGCACATAGGGTAAGGTTTTAAAGCGGACGATCCCCTTCTCTCCTCAAAGTTTGCCTCCTCTCACAGCGGAGAGGCATCTGCTTCATTGAATCAGAACCACACCACATTCACGGCGCTCCGGAGAGTGCTCAGCAGAAGACTAGCCTTGAAAACTTGAGGGTGAACAAATCTGGTGAACCGCTGCTCTCCGCTGCCTGGAGGAGCTAAGTGCAAGGAGATGTGCGTTGGCCTCTCTGGTTTGTGTCCACAAGTAAGTGCCCCAATTACGTTTTCATTCCAATCCCGGTCTTCGTTTACGGGTCATGTGCTCATACCTTAGACACCGCTTCATCCCTTGACGATTCTTGGTAGTGTTGCAATGTCACATGATAATGATTGTACCACAGGGTTTGGGGCGGAGTATGGCAGCATGCTCCTGACGAGTTCAGTAAGGTCTTCATGTGCATGGGTGGTGCAGTGCAGACTTGGGATCGAACCTGTGACAAATGGAACTGCATGGTAGAGGGAGCCCGTTGTTTGAGTCGGGGCTTATTTCTTTCGCCTTCTTGCACTTTTAGGTGTCATCATGGCCCCCAAATTGGTTGGAACCCTGCACTTTTATACGTCAATATTGGGGATCCTCTGTGGATGGGGGCTCCTAGGAGGAGTATGGTCCGCGACCATAGAGGAGATCGACGATCTGGTTCAGGGCCCACTCTGGAACCAGACGAGGATCACGATCCAAAAACGCAGGTTGTCGGGTCAAATTCCCCCAGAGCTTGGCAGCCTTATCAACCTCACCTCCCTCGACCTCTCCTCCAACAATCTCTCCGGCCCCATCCCCCCTGGGCTGGGCAGCCTCACTAAACTCACCAGACTCGTTCTCTCCTCCAATAACCTCTCCAGCCCCATTCCCATCGGATAAA